TGTTAGTAAATAACTGGCAAAAAAGTGACAAACATAATTACTGAAATGGGACTCGTATCTTTCGGATCTCTCGTTCCCACCGCTGTAACTCCTGTGTAGCCTGGATCTACAGCTTGACCGCCAATAAAAACCCAACCAGTGAAGGTCAAGTTTGTCCCGGAGGAAAGTTAAACTGTCTTTGGACCCGCAACGAAATTAATCAGAACAACATAGGAGTTCGAAGTTAATGTTCGACTTCCCTCCAGTGCAAAGCGAATGACAGGTGACAAAATAAAGGTTTAGTAATAATAATATGGTTCCTGAAAGACAATTCAACTTACCCTGGGCTCCGTAGCTCACTAGCGCCACACACACAAACAGTAGCAGAAACACCTTCATCTCTGCACCCTGAACTAGGTAGGCCTGCCATGTTACCGTTTGTGGTCACACAATAAATAGTTTTTGCTATCGTGTACCATTCATCATGCTTGGATAAGTCTGAAGGAATCATATCAACCGTTGCGTTTTGTGGTGCGTACATTTTCTTGCATTGAGGTATTTGATGATAACGTTGAATAATTCTGAATAGTGACTAAGTTTCTTGCGCTGCTTCTCAGCTATGGCCCATTTATTGTAGGGTTAATTAATTAAGCAAAAATAAATCGAATTTCATTAATTTAAATTCAATGAAGATGTATGACTTTAAAAAAGCACATTCCGAAATGTACCATCGGCAACAGTGTTAACTATCCATTGCCTGTCATGTCGTCTCGTTCTATCACAGAAATAAAACAATATAACACAAAACTATAACAAAAATGCAGAAAGTTTGACTTTGGAGCACCAATAATACCATGAAGCAACTGAAAAACCTATGCATGTTTTGAGAGGCGTGGCGATTTATCTGTTTAAAAAATTACAGTTTTTTAGAGAGTGCTGTTCTTAACTGACTTGGAAATAAAAAGCCTAGAACGTCGTAGAGACCTACTTGATCTTTCTTTCTTTTACAAAATTATGAGACATCATGTGCGTAGTCCAACCTTGCTAGCGAAGTTTAACTTCAAAGTCCCATTACGAATACCACGTAAACCCATTGAACCTCTCTCCCGCCCCTTTCGAAAAACTGTTCTAGGAGCCAACTCTCCTATATGTCGGATCTGCAAGATCTACAATAAATGTAGTGGTCCCCTGGATGTGCATTTCATGTCCCTACCCAAATTCAAGGCTACAGCAACCGACTCTATATCATAATAATTTAACTTATATAACATCATTTATGCTAACTAAGCAGCAACTTATATTTCTTGCAAGCTGTGTATACCTCTAAGTGATAGTGCAATTAGCTTAATATTTTGCGTATTTTTTAACATATTGTGTATTGTTGTACCTATCGTTGGTGTACCTAATAAATAAATAAAAAAATAAATAAACTAGTTTAGGTAGGTACTACAAAATTATTGGATTTATGGAATAGGTAACTGTACCGAACTGGTGGTCTTATGTAAATAAATTGAATTTTTTCTCTAGTATCAGATCTCCACACAGTTTAAATGACCGCAGTCTATGGAGGAATTAGAAATAAGAACACTATTGTGAGACACTCATCAGTGAGGGACCGAGGAAGTGATAATCAGATCTAGAATAACCTAGATGCTCGGCTCAGTACAATCGATAATAATTATAGTTTTTCCACCCCAACGATAATAGTTGCAATCATAAAAATTGAGATTTCATTTTATTTTAGTCTCGTCATCAATTGATTTCCTATGCAGACCATAAATTGTATAAACTTTATCAAAATTATTTTATTCGACTATCGTGATAATTTTTTTTCAGATTAGTTTAATCTATAATTTCCTCTTTATAATATTAGTATAGATAATATTTAATGCCCGTATTAGACTTACATTATTTTGGTATTTATAATAGTATAAAGTAGTATAGACTAATTCATACGTCATTAAGAAGGAAGGAAAGAAAGATAACACAAGAATTTATAGACATTATCGCATAATTAGGCTATAAAATACAGATTAGAATGAAACTAATCAATGAAGATTAAAAAAAGACGGTCACATTCAGTTGGTGCCAAAAATATTTTGGTAATCATAACATACTTATTCATATTTAAAATAGATTTAATAGTCTCAGAGATTTTAGCATTTTTTTTATTCAAATTAAGATTATTTTTGGCTTTGCACAGACCACACAATGTATGATCTGTGCTTATAAGTGACCACACCAAGTAATATTACGCGCGAAACTGCACAGAAAAGAAAACCCTAGCAAGAACGGTCAAATGCTGCTGTGCCACAGAACACGAAACCAATATAAGTTAAGTATTCAAGATGTGAATAAATCTAAATCGTAGAGACCGTTAAGATTTTTTTTCCGAAATTCTACGTGATTCTTTAGTTCAATCTACACTAAAAACATAAATGGATAATTTTAATAAATTGTACATATTTTTATTCATGTACTTTAGAAAAGATACTGCTGTATGCCATTATTCGGTAAAATGAAAGATGAATTTCTGTTAAATATTTATTAAAGTATTCATTACTCTATTACACATAACACATTATTACCTATTCAGATTTGTATTGTTAATTAAATAATTATGAAAATTATCGGACACACTGCGCTTACATTATTTGTATGAGGCAACGAATCTACTATATTTAAAATTATTATTATATTTAATTTATAAAAATAGATTTTTATAAAAACGTGTATATGTTACAGGAAATGTATGAAATCCGTCATTGTATACAATTCCTAGGAATTGTGTATTATTCCTAAAATCACCCGGAAATGTGTGATGTAAATTATATTAGACACATTTCCTAGGAAATTTACACATTTCCTAAACAGCAATCGGAAATGTAATATAAGATTTCAATTAATACGCGTGGACATGCGGTGCGAGGGGAGGTTGGACATCCGATTACGAGGGGTCTCTATCGAATCGCCAAATTTTTTGTACGCCTAATTGTCTATGGCACACAAATTGTTAACCTTAAAAACTTTTTACACAAAATTATTTTTATTACGCAACTTTTTTTTCTTCAAAACTTATATAGCGCTCGGCGGCAGCTGTGTATGTGTAAGGTCGCAAGTCTAACCTAACCTAACCGAGACTTTGTTATCCAGCTTCCTGTAGCTGGATATGGTGGTACTAAAACCTTCGTGCCAATAATAATAGTTTCATAAAAGAGATGTTAAAATTAGGGATTTCCAATACTTCTGCGTAATATGCGTGATGCCGAAAGAAAGGTATGCCAATAAATTTTAGGCAAATTTTTTTTTCGGCCAATGTATAATAGTGCGAAAACAACTGTCAGGCTAAACAATAATAATTGTGAGTTAAAAGTACCTATCGGCCAATGTGGTTTGGCTAAATGAAATTTTAGGCGTACCGAGGGGCACCCGATCACGCGACCGCGATAGTGCCGCTTAGTTTTATACATTTCCTAATACAGTATTGGAATTCTATAAAATTCCTAGGAAAAGTATACATTTCCTAGGATAGTGCGTATTAAAAAATCTCTGAAGCAATATTTTATACATTTCCTAAATAGCTTCGGAGTTGTATACATTTCCTAGGAATAGTATACAATTCCTAGAATTCATACATTTCCTGTAACATATACAAAAGTAAACTATGGAACTTAAAAATATTAAATACCTATTTTACTTAAGAATAAGTTATCTACCATGAAAAAAAAACACTTGCATACATAATACTGGGACGGATACAATACGGATAAACCAAATGACGAAAATCAATCATGATCAACATTTTCACATGCACAATATTGATTCCAATACTGTAATTGATAACTAATTACACTAGTTTACAAAAAAAAAGTTTTTCTTTTACCCAAAGATAATTCATATTGGTTGTGTTTTCTACCAGCCCCCTTATTACAAAAATATATNTTATCACGTCAAGTTTTTGAGATATCCACATTAACCTAAGTAAGCTGTTTTGTTAGCCGTTTCGGAGTTTCTACTTTGTTTCAATTGCATTTAAGTATTATTTTAACATTTTCACTTGTTTTAAAATGTCACCAAGGCAGTGTAAATTAAGCCCAAATAACTTTTGCTAAGTTTGTGGTCAAATTATATTGTCAAAAAAGAAGAGACTATTCACTGAGGCCGTAAAACGGGCCTATTTCTATTACTTTCAAATCTCGGTAACAAACCTGATGAAAAATGGGTTCCTGGTGTAGTGTGCGAAAATTTGAGAAGTGTATTATTGCACTAGGCTGCAGGAAAATAAAAACATATACGATTCGGCACCCCAATGTTATGGAGAGAACCAACAAATCACACTAATGACTGTTACTTCTGCCTCACTGAAACTACAGGTTTTAACAACAAAACCCAAGAACATACAATATCCTGATGTTGCATCAGTCACAAAACCTGTGCTACAATCTGAAGGAGTCCTTTATCCGTCATTACTCAGCAATTCCAGTAGGGGCAGTAACAAAAGATGCTTGGTATTAATTTAAAGCAGTAGTGAAAAGTTTCCTGGGAAACTATAAATTTATCTCAGAATTATGCAGAAATTGTTTCCAAATTATTGAGGAATTACCAAAGAATGGGTGTGAATAAGTCGTTAAAAATTCATTTTTTAGATTCTAACCTGGATTTTTTTCCTAAGAACCTGGGAAGCGTGAGTGTTGAGCATGGCGAAAGTTTTCACCAGGATTTGAAATTTTTTGAGGAAAGATACCAAGGAATTTGGATAAAAATATGTTAGCGGATTGCTGCTGGTCTATAATAAGGGAAACTGATACTAATTAGTATAAAAGAAGGAGTAACACGACTCATTTTTGATTGTTTTTAGTGATGAATGTATAAAAAATATAATAATTAAAATAATCAATATTTACAAAATCTGACGTCCTAAATTTTTTCTAAGTTCAGTTTTCAAGTAAGGGTTAATAACTCTAACGATACGTATCAGTTTCATCTCTGGGTAAAAAACCTTGTAAACTAGTGTTATTTAGGTGTCTTTATTTTTTACAATATTCACTTGTTGTTGAAGCTAGTCATGTCATTTAGCCAGTTCCTTCGTTTCATATTCATTTTGGATAGACTTTAGTTAGACTCAGTTTTGAAATTCATACTAGTTATTTATAAATATTTTCACAATATTATAACAACATTCAATCTCTGGGTACTATCTATTTAAAATAGCACAACTAAACACTTTGTCTAAAGTGAGTAATCGCAACTTTCAACCTACTATCTCATCATTTTATAATTTTTTAGTCCCTATTTAGTTAATTATTGACTAGACAGGTCAAATTGAATAACTAGATGCTTAAACAACCATTCACTAGCACCAATTCCTTCTACAGTGAACAATATTGTTATCATCATTGTAATTGTTACTAGTTAGTTAATAAATATGTAACCATTCTGAAAGGTTTCAAGTATTTTGCTTGTTACAAAACATTTCAATCAGTTATTCATTTTTAGAGTCAGAAATATAGAAGATAAAAAGAGGGTGACAGCGATGGTTTGGATGTTGGAAGAGTTGCACAGGTCTCCGTTGCACATCCTACAGCTTCGCATGTCACCATCGTAACTGTCACCCATTGCTTCGCGACACTTCGCTTCTATGTCATCCGATTCATAAGCGCAACCACGGATGACGTTCGTCTCGCCGTTTTCTAAAACAATAAAAAAAAGCCCATTAAAACACATTTCATAATAAAAAAATAATAATTATAAGTTCAACATGAAGTGAAACAGAGTGGAAACGATAAATAAGTGATCTCATTTGATTATTTCTGAACTACACAAGATATCAAAAAACTAAGTAGTTACTGATCCTAAAAGTGCTTCATGAGCTCTATCAAACGGTATCAATAATAAGTTACAGAATAAACTGGATAATATCCGAAAATTCAATGGTAATGGCATCGTTTGATAGAGCTCATGAAGCACTTTTAGGATCAGTAACCAGTTTTTCGATATCTTGTATAGTTTAGAAATAATCGAGTGAGATCAATAAATTATCGTTTCCAAGTTTTCCAACCTGTAGATAGAAAACAGATTTGGTTTTCTCTTGGTCATTTCTTGTTGCAAATATTTTCTTTTAAATTTAAGCTAAAACTGTCGTTAGTAGTTACCTATGATAACACTAGACTGAGTTATATCCCTAACGTTTATAAAGGGAATGAGTTATGACGAATCACCTTTATTGTCTTTGATATGTTTAATGTTTGTTCGCTTAATCCTATTTGTGTTGAAATATTCAAGTACTTTCACCAATGCGTTATCATCTAAAGTGTAGATAATCCAAATGATTCACTTTGTTTTCCTAAATGAAAAGGTTAGTTCCCTTGTTTATTCAATTTAGTACTTAAATCTACCTGAAATGTTTTATCAGAGGAGCCCCCCTAAAGATTTTAATTATTCTTAGCTTCTAAGATTAAGTGTGTAAAGTCCGGTCGCCGAGCACGTCGCGACAGCAATATAATTACGCGCGAGCGACAAGGATGGGTAGCTTGGGGTCATTGGACGAAATTCTACGTGCTCGGCGACCGGACTATAGATTGCGTCATTTCGTGCCAGACGAATAATAAGGCAACACCTAAACGAATCTGTTTGTGCATTTTAGGGACTTTTTGTTTTATGAAACTGGTCATAGTATTCGGAGATCACCTCGATCAATTAAAAATATGTAATCTAAACAGCCGCTACCAACCGGTTAGTATGGAAATCATTGGGGTAGGCCTATATTCAGCAGTGGACGTCCTGTTAGCTGAAATGATGATGATTATGATGATGATGAATGTAAACAATATAGGTTTGATAATACAATGTATCACTATACTAGCTCGGTTAGTGTCTTGCATCTGACACCTTCTGATTTGTGATCTTCTAAGAGTTTGGAGTGACTGAATGAATGTTCAAAAGAGAAAAGAGATATATTGAACTAACCTTCAAGAAATGTCACCACTAGACACCTGGCTTCAGCCTCAACGTCGTCGTCATCATCACTCTCCTTAAGAGCCCTCATGGGCACGAAATCAAAATATGGGTTGTATCTCAAGGGTCGGGTGTTCACCATCTGAAAATTAAGAAACCTTGTACTATCTAATAGTTATTGCTCTCCTCTTCGAATCATTTACCAAATACGAGTTTTTATTTTGTTCAAAAGTATTTTTTTTTTGATTACGATTACAAGTAAAGATAATAAAATACGAAACGTGAACATATTGCACAGATATAGATATTTCCCACTGGAGATTCTACTACAAAGAGGAAAAAAACTATAAATAAACTTACTTGGACGTTATACACCAACTCCGAGTCATCATTCGTTGACCCTATTGTCGAAGATTCAGTATTGACGCTCGCAGGTGCATCACTTATAGGTGCATCAGTTGTCGGCGAAGAGCTGTCTTCAGTAACACTGGTGGTAATATCAGTGGTTGGGTTGCTAGTGCCAGTCGCAGGCCCTTCAGTTGATGAAGTTGAGCTATCAGTGGTTGCGTCGCTAGTGCCAGTAACAGGCCCATCAATTGATGAAGTTGAGCCATTAGTGGTTGGGTCGCTAGTGCCAGTAACAGGCCCATCAGTTGATGAAGTTGAGCCATCAGTGGTTGGGTCGCTAGTGCCAGTCACAGGCCCATCAGTTGATGAAGTTGAGCCATCAGTGGTTGCGTCGCTANTGTACTTTGTTAGCAATTCTAATAGTTTATTTTTAACAAGTGGATCTGAACTACCGCAATTTACCTTATCGGTGTCAATAGTGAAAACTGAATTGTCAGACCGAATATCAGAATACCTTTCCTCAGCGAGAAATTCTTTTTCATCACATAATAATGCTCTAGCTAAGATTTGTCCCTTTTTTAATGATAATGGCCGCTGTGATGTATTGGTAATTTCTAAGATTTGTTCTTTGCCGTTAATGATACTAGCAGGAAAAGTATAATTTACCCCTTCATAATGCCTAGTACAAGAATCAATAAATAAAACATCATCTAAGGTAGCATCCGATACGATACCGACTGACATGACGTGATTTGGTGGTATTTCAGTGTCATCTTTACATTTTATTGGAAATTTCAGAATTTCATCGCAATACAAGTCCGATTTAAATACCTCTGATGTTAAAGATTCCTTTTTGGAAATTGTGAATTCAGTACCAGATATAGTAAAAACATAATCTGGGTCATTAATAATTGGTTGACCTAATATAACATCCATGTCAGCCATAGACACATCAGTTACAATAAGCTTCGTTTCGAATTTGTTATCATCTATATCAACATTTACATCTACAACTCCTTTTGCAGGAACTGGAGTACCACCAAAACCACCAATGAACATGATATCACAAACCTTTATAGGCAAACCAAGTTTCTGACAAAATTGAGAGTTAACTACGTTAATTTTGGCCCCCGAATCAAAATAAGCTCTAGTAGGTGTATCATTTAACAATATAGTTTTAAAANTCGTTTGATCATTCAATAAATTTACAAGTGCATGCATTACGTTACGATATTATACTTACTTGCTATTTGATAAAGCAACTATTCGAAACGTTTGTAATATGCACCACTTGTTTCAAAATTGGCAATTTGCTTTAAAATATGGGTAAATTGGGGAAAATATTTATTTTTATTACTAGACTGTTGCCGAATTTTTGATGCATTGCATTTTCGATCCATAGCACTTATCGGGTATGTTTTTGCATACGGCATGGCGTATCATTGCAGCTTGTACTCGTGTCATTTGCGCATCTATCCTTATTATAAGTCACGTTATAGCAAACAAAACGTTATAGGATAACTTATCCTATAGGTACTCGTATACATCCTACTGTAGGTCACAGTGCTCTTGCGAACTATGGAATAACTAAAGGATGTGGGACAGTAATTGGGAATTAATAAATACCTCCATATACCAGTGTTTTAATGATTAAATGTAAATACTTACTGCCTTCATCAACTGAAGCCCGCTCCTGAAACACTTTCTAACGCTAATTAGAAGTAAAAGTAAAGAAAACACACATATTTTCTCACAACCAAGAAAGTTCATGAAGAAAATATTACACGCGATTTCAAAGAACATTCTATGTAAATTACTTTAAAAATACAAAATATAAAATCAAAGTTAGAGTAAGGCAAGTCAGTCGCTTAAGAAAAATAACGAAGTAGGCAGACTTTACTAAGAAATGTTGGCTGGAATACTTCCAGTAAAGTTAACTGGTTCAATTTTAACTTTTCTAAATTGAAACGAAGTTGTAATACGTATGCATATTTGTAAATAGTTAAGTGTACTCGTACTAACAGTTAGCGCATACCTAATCACAGGTCTTTCAAATGCAAAATAGCACTAGGACATGTGAAATAATTTTTTTTATAAGTCACAACAATACAGGGTGTCCACTGCAAATGTTCGAAAAAATTCCCTGACTTTTCCCTGACTTTCCCTGACAATTTTTTCAAAATTCCCTGACCAACTATGTATACAACGTGTCCCAAAATTCAAGGATAAGCCGACGCCACAGGATGGACATAGTCATGACTACTTTAGGAAAAATAAGGAAAAAAATCTATCTCAATAATTTTTTAACTTACACAATAAATTATGAAATTCAACGAAAATTGACACCCCTTATGATATTTTACATTACCACGACCACAATTTTTCAATTATTCCTGGTTTTCTGTTTATATCGGCAACTTAAGTAGTGCTGCTGTTCACCCCAACTCTTAAAACCCCCAGAATCCTTGCAGTTTTTACACAAAAGTTAATCAAAATATTTTATTTCCTTAAAATTTTGAACGATTTTTACTTTCACTCCACTTTGACTTTGTAAAAAAAGTATGAACACTACTGCGGCAAGTTTTTTTAAATTTGACGCAACTATCCAAGATTCCAAAATGCTACTCTAAGAAACCTAGTCGCAAAAAAGATATGCGTACCATTTTTACAAGCACTTCGCTTGTTAGTTAGTATGGGATAAATCTTACAACTGAATTTAAAACCAGTTCTCCTTAATCAATTGAGCTGAAATTTGGTATACTTGTGTAAGTACGATGACAATGCAATATTATGGTACCATTGAGCTGGATGGAGTCAATAAGTTGCACTTTCACATCGACAAGAGAAAATATTATTATATCATTTTACTGAAACAAAAAAAGTACAACTATTAAAACAAAAAGGAGTAATTTAGTTATGACATAAAAAAATCATAACATAGATCACTCTAATCCTGAAAAAAGAACTATATGAAAGTAATCTAATTATGAACAAAATTATGTCATAATTTAGATCAATCCACTTCATTAGATAAAAAACTAAAATGGAGTAATATAATTATGACTAATAACAAAGTCATAATGTAGATCACTCCAAACCTGAAGAAAAAAATGCTTCGATAGTCAAGATCAAAGGTCTTTCTAGAGCATAAATTAATTAAATCCCTCATTTTACAATCACTGGGAAATTTGGGGAGACAAACAGTGTTTTGGTAGACAAAATCTCAATTTTTCCCTGACTTTCCAGGTGACCCCTCTATTTCACTGACTTTCCCTGACTGCTATGAGCTTCCCTGACTTTTCCCTGACTTTCCCTGACTTTCCAGAATGTGGACACCCTGCAATAGCTTCGGCGAGAGTCGAACTAGCGACTCTAGAAAGGCAGTCCGACACAAAAACCATTGGCTATTATCATCTCTTTCTATGGCAGCCCGTAGTCTCACAAAAGTATAAACCCATCTCACTACTGAAGCAATATTTGTATGAGAAAATATGTTTAATCAAGATATCGATTAGATGCCCAATAAGGAAAAATCAAGGCGCGTCGATATTGGGGCGGCTGTTTATTTATTCCAAGCGAGTGGCCCCGGAAATAAGTCTGGATGGAGTCCCCATTCCTTCCTGATCAAAGATAAGGTACTCCAGAAAGTCCAAATAACGTTTATGCCTTCGCCCGTAAACTTGCTATGTTGCTAAATAATTTTTTCACAGACTACGCAAAACAAGTACCTAATCACAGGACATGTATGATGGAAGCGCACAATTCAGATCGTCTTCTGGAAAGCGATCTTTTTTAAAGATTATTAGTAATTTGTTATTTCACAAATTACTAATACTTAGCCCCTCGTACTAAACTAATTATGCTTGTGTCACGAGTGAACTCACCACAATAGTCAAGCGGCGGCGGGGACCGAAACCCCAGTCCGACCCCTTCACCGTTCGGCTATCGTGGCTTCAAAAAATCTCTTCCAGACAACCCAGGCAGGAATGGAAATAAAAGAGCTGGACTAACCAATGAATCTGATGAAAGTTTAGGAGAGAAAAAGATTAAATAAAAAAAAATAACATTGATATGCGGATGACGTAAGACGCGGCAGCATGGACCGAGCGGACAACTGTTTCTGTTTTTAATTCTACGCAATAGATACCTAATATCGACTTTTTGCCGCGCGAAGATTAGCGATTACCCTACGCCTGGATGAAGACGAGTGATTACGGAATTCTTGCAGACCTTCAATACATGAGTGAAGTCATTATAGGCCGCATCTTCACCCCTTGGATGACATTGTTGTACCTCCTCAATTTCAAGCCCCGTACTAGATAAAAAAACTATGCATTTCTGTACTAGCGGCCGTCCGCGACTTCGTACTCATAACAGAGCATGGAATCGTCGCGCGGTAGCGGGCGGCGCGCGACGATTCCATGCTCTGTGGTACGCATGGATCCCTTTTTACCCCCTTAGGGGTTGAATTTTGCAAAATCCCGTCTTAGGCAGCACCTACGTTCTAAAAGAAACCCCCATGCAAAATTTGAGACTCCTAGCACTTTTGTAGTTTCTGAGATTTCGTGATGAGTGACCTTTCGCTTTTAGATTTCAATTTCTAATACACTTATAATATCGATTTTGAAAAAACATTGTAAGTAGGTAGGTATGATTAGTTATTCTGTACTGACTAATGTCAAAGCGAGTCCCAGCCACTTTTCGGCCAAACAGTGGCGTGGGCGCACCACACTTACTCTTTGCCGCCCGAGATTAGTGTTTACCCTCCGCCTGGATTAAGACGCGACTGTAGCTACATTAACTACGGAGACGATCCAATTTTTTACGAGGCTTATCGTCGAATGTTTGGTAAAGCGTATTAACGCATCTTTGAAATTAAATATTGTATTTTTTTGCGATGAACGATCTGAAAAAGGGAGAGTAGTGTCAGTGCCTGATTTAGGACTAGAGAAATTCAAACGCTTACTTTTCTTTATCTAAGAGCCTATAGGCTTGAAAACTACATTGCTGATTAGTATTTAAATGACACTTTTCGATGGCATATTAACCTAATTATAAGTAAGTCTGTAAAATTTTTATCATCATCATCTCAGCCATAGGACGTCCACTGCTCAACATAGGCCTCCCCCAATGCTTTCCATGTTGATCGATTGGTAGCGGCCTGCGTTCAGCGCCTTCCTGCTACCTCTACAATGTCATCGGTCCACCTTGTAGGTGGACGTCTCATGCTGCGTTTTCCGGTACCTACCTTTAGACAAGCCTGAAATCTTTCTTCTTAGACAACAATGTTTTCAAAATATGATATTGGCACATCAAACTGTAAAATTGATGTCAACTGGTCATATTTATTGCTTATACGATACAATAATATCAAATTATAATTAACTACAAATTAATTCAATAACCAGTAATTTCAATTAATATTGATTATCAAACAACATCGGTTAATTTGACACCGGCATATCAATGTTGCAGAGCACACACTACATACGAGTACACTACGGTAACATGTTGTTCAGATAAATTCACGTCGTGAACACTTATGTGCCACTTTACTAAATTCAAACTTTACAGTGATAATGCTCTCGATTCGGAATAGCTATCACAATCCACGTAGAATATGAGTAGGTTCTTTGGAATTAACGACTATAGACACAAAAGCTACGTCGTCGTA